TTACAACAAATTGAAAGAGAGCTCGACCTGGCACTGTGAAAGCCGTGAGTGGTTTTGCTTCATCCGTTAACTGAATCTGCCAATAGGCATCCTTTAGATCCAATTTACTAATAATATTAGCCTTTGGTAAGCGAGAGAAGATCCCATCAATGCTTTGTAAGGGGTACGCATCTTTTTTCGTTGCTTCGTTTAATTTCCGCGCATCTAAACAAAGTCGGACTTTATTTGGCTTAATTACCATACGAATTGGTGAGCTCCAAGAGCTGTTAGAGGGTTCTATTACCCCAAGCTCTAGCATCCGATCGATTTCCGCATAAAGGACTTTTTCGACGGCTGGACTGACAGGGTAGTGTCTCTGTTTCACTGGCGTGGCCAATCCCACGTCAATGTGATGCTTTAGTAAGGAAGTACGCCCTAAGCCTTGTTTCGTAAAATTTGGAAACAATTCCTTCACCGCTTCTAACTTTTGTAGTTGCCTCTCGTTGAGCGGATAGGAATCCTGGACAATTTGAGTTACTGAAGGGCTCTCGATTGCACCAACTATACTCGGCGCTAATGCAAACGTTCTCCAGAAATCAATTCCTAATATAAGTCTCTGAGCTATGGTTGGAATAATGTATAATTCCATTACATTTTCATTATCTTTATATTTCATTTTAACTTTCAAAATTCCTAAAACCTTATGGGCCTTGGCATCCGCAGTTTTAACTTGCGATACGATGGCTTTATATCCGGGAAAACAACTGAAATCCTGCAAAGCTAAATCTGCTCCTATACAGCTAACATTTGCTCCTGTATCAAGCAAACCCCATTCTGTAAAATTCAGAAAGGAAACATTTGCATAACTTCGTCTGTCTGAGATGTTTTGAAAAATGGTCGATACTACATTACGTTGCTTACTTTTTAAATTGCTATAATAATTTTTCAATCGTTTTGTATTCCGTTTTCGTGGCTTTGTTTTTTCATTAAAGATTCTATCTCGTACTAAATAATAATTTCGAAGCCTGTCTTCATACGGCCGAAATGCTGTTTTCAAATCCACTGACTCTTGCGTGGTATTTGACTTATCTAATATTTTGGATTGAAGATCAACTATTTTCATTTTTGTCTCATCCTCCAACCTTTGACCTAAGGAGTTGTCTAAGTCTTTGTCTACGTCTGGGTATGAAGCTATGAGTGGGACTGGGACATCCGATTGTTCTGGGATGCCCCCCGCCTTTCGGTTTTCCGAACGATTCTTACAGTTCAGACAATTGGGTTTATAGACTTCCGGCTTGCCACATCCGTAGCAAAATATGCGACGTTCTGCTAAACAATCCTCAAATATATGACCCGCCTTGGTACAGTTCCAGCAAATAATTTTCGAGGGCGCTCTCAAAGCCGAAATATCCTTGTCTAGTTCATCGATCTCTGTCTCTGTCTTTGAGTCTTCATCGACAGCGTAAACTCGGTAGTTGGTCTCTTTGGGTTTTGCTTGAGTACGGATTGTTTTGGCAGCATCCTGCAGAAACCTTTCTCTCTTTTGGACCAACTTTCGTAAGTGTTCCATAGAATAGATATCTTCAAAAAGCAACCTATCTTTCATATCCGTGAGCAAATTTCCCTGAACTAATTCAATTAATTCGTTTTCTTCAAAATGCACTGACAATTTATCCATTAGTTTGCAAATGGATTCGTAAAAGGTATCAAACAATTCGCCAGGTTTTTGTTTACGAGCACGAATTTGTTCGCGTAGCTCGGTCATAGATCGACTTTCTTTCTATTGGGCACGCAGCGCGGTTGCAAACTGTTGCCAGTTCAGGTTCTCGGTTTGTTTATGCATTCGCCAAAACCAAGAACTAGCCTTGCCTACTAACAGCTGATGCACATTTCGAACAAGCGAATCAAAATCATTATTAAGATGTTCTCGCGTTAATACTTGTACTCGATATAAAAATTCTTCCACCGACAAACCCTCAGATGTCCCTTCGAAACGCACACCCCACTTCTGAATAATATCTGCGACCTTATTCGTTGCTAGAATGGATGAATTATGAGAAATGAGACTTTGGTTAACCGTGGGTGTTCTTTCTTGTTGTCGATTTTCCTGATTGTTTCTCACTGTTAATGTTTGCATCATTTGCCTTACAGTTTCTCGAACTAAAACTTCAATGTCCGGTTGCGACCAATTATTTTCGTTTAGGTTATCGTCACTCCGATTAAATCGTCTAGGCAGTCTGCCTCTTCGTGCACCTCTTCGTATTGCACCTCCTCTCTCCATATTAGTGTTATTACCCCTTGCACCTCTATTACTATCGACAGCTGCCACGTTAGGTATTAACTCTGGTTGCTGCGAAAAAACTTCTGCCTCTGTTGGGGGATTTTCTACAAGTTCTAATTGTCTAGCCACTGAACGAGTATTTGGACGTTTATTCGCAGTAGTTCCTGGTGGATCGTTTCTCAGCTCTGGAGAGAAATTTCCAATAACTACTTTAACATCCTTCAACAGAACTTTTGTAAAACAAGAAGGACATTCATTCTCTTTATCCGGATGAAACTTACTCTCAACACAAGATTTATGGAATACATGCTTACAAGGTGTCATCGCACAAGGCTGTGTATCCACCATTGGCTCTTCGCACAATAAACAAACATCTTGGTTAGCCATTGGAGCGAACGTTTTATCAGGAGTATGATGAAGTGGCATAATGTTTTTGTTTAGGTTCTACAACTTTGTGTTTATTTTGTAATAATTTCTCGTTATATTTTATTTATCTCGTTTTGACCTATCTTTGGGGATATGAATGATCTGATCGTAGTTAACCTGGTTCCGACATAATTTATTTTGGTATTTTTATTTGTTTATTTATTTTTTTTTTTTAATATATGTTCGGGCTATTTCCTCTAATTGGAATGATACTTGATTTTCAGATATTTACTAATCGCAACTAACGGACCTATGTACACTTACGCATACCCTATGTATTCCAGTCAATCCAACTTTGCAAACAACTAACCGATAAACCATTTTCTCACTCCTCTGATGATAGAAACTGAAGCTACTCTACAGCTCAAAAACCGATAGCTATACTTCGGTCGTCAGAGTTCACACTTGCAAACCTACGATATCCAGAAAGTATAAACTATAGTTATAATATGCACTGCAGACCACTCTCAATAATTTATCATTCGAAAACAAACGAGCTATCTATCTAGGGAGTTCGGTTGCTTTACTTTTATTGGTCGATCTTACTCAGCGCACGCAAATAATTCGATATCCGAAAAAAATAAAGTACCTCCTAGACATTTGGGCTTAAATAACTGAAATCTCTCGTTATGTAGAATTCAATTATCGCGGCCCCACGTTTGGGCGCCAAATACTTATGTAATGGTTGCCTACACTGAAGAAAAATTGATCACAACTATCTACAGTGTAAGTTAACTAAATCAGGCAGCAGTGTTACAGCGGAACGGGACCCTCTTGTTGCTTCTAGCTCTTCCGGGATGGGGGGGTTATTGCTGTTACTGCTTCCGACATTACACGAAGAATTATTTATAGAGTCCCTATCTGAAACTAATAAGCCATCTGATCATGGCTGAAATATTCAGGCTAACTGCCTACAAATTAAAATCAGAGAAAATCTCCAACTCACAGGACGACAATAATGAGGAAAAGGGAATATGTCTAGCACCAGGATCTGTTCGTGGCGTCTTAGCTGTTGTTTGACACACACGGAGTCGCTACCCACCCTACCAATGCCTTTGTACTTTAACTGTTAGCAAAGACCCCATATTGTAGCTGATCAAAACATTTAAATCCCCAGGTCACGAGATGAGTGCATCTACTCCATCATGATATTACTGATTCGATATGACATACTGCATTATTTATTTAAATAATTTCAATAGAAAAGTGACTTAAAGAAATTCTGATTAATGACAGAATAATTTCGAATGTTCGTTTTAATTAATTTGCTTCTTTTCATTTTTTAATTTAAAACAATTCAGTTGCGATTCATTTATGCTTTCATTGTGACTACAAATGTTTTTAAACGAGGACTTAATGATTAGTTTCTAATTTATTTGTATTGTATTTACATATTTTCTGATAAAGTTAGCGAAAAGCAGAATAAAACTACGCGTTCCTAATCATAATTCAAATATTTAATCTTCATAATTACGTTGGTGCTGGTAGCAATAGAGATCTGCAATGCATACACTAGCCAAGAATATAGCAAAACAAACGCATACCGAGAATTAAGATTTGGTAATGATCATTATATACTCAATAAGAGCGCGGCTAGAGGAGCATTTATACGCAATTAGAAGTGTTCAGAATCTTGCAGCCCAAAACAAACAAACAGAAAAGAATAACGAACAGAGCTTACGGCTCTTCACGGTAGCAGCGGTTGGCTTGGATGATCATATCATGTCACATTAAATTGGTGTTTATATATATATATCCATTTTTGGATCACTTACCCCATCCGATCCACGTGGATTACGAGCTGTTAGCGTGTGTTTAAATGATTGTTAATTTAATGCAACATAAATGATTCGTTTGATCGACCCTGCTTATCGCGTTCTTTATGTCTGGTTGTGCGGGTTTTTAGGGCACATGAACCTAGGTCAAGTTTACGCAATCGCGTTCGCTTAGCTAGCGCATGCACTCTAGATACATACTACAGTTTTCCGAGGCTCAAACGAGCCAGATGCGACCGAAATCTGATTAAAAAAATCCGAAACTTTTACAGTTGCATAAAACCTAACTAAATCTGCACTCCGGATCTAATGCCGGTTTTGTTTATTTCTGGAGGAGTTTACTCCGATCCTACGCCTTCGTCACGCGCTGGCCGAAAATTGTGGTCCCTGGCCACAACGTTTGTCGTCTCCCTTCCTCTGCCGCAGCTGGCGAAGCGCGGAAAGGAAAAATAAGTAATCCCACGCCGATGACGTAATCGGGGCTCCTGGCCACCGAGCAGATTCGCGGGCAGGGTCGCAAAGGTTTTCGCTTCACCTTTGGCAATATTCCGCTTGCCCTTATAGGAAGGTTCGACTAGAAAAACAACCGTGGTTACGGAGAGAGCTTTCAGTCATAGAAGAAAACTATTTACCGACAGAGGATGATGCAGAGTAAACTGCGGTACGCTTGAGCGTGGAGCTCCAGAAGGTTCCTTCGCCTGTATGTAGGCGTGCAAGCCGAGAAGGCACGCCGTATTGCGCTGTCTCTATAGGAAACCAATATTAATGCAAGTGCAAATGGCTTGAAGTCTCAAAATAATTACCCAAAACCGGTGCGCGACACTGGCGGATGGTTAACTGGTCGGATGCAACGGCCGATGCCTTGTATTAAATTGGCAAAAGGGACACGTGGCACTTGTGTATTAATTTCGCTCACAGATCGACACTTCTGTAGCGTTCGGCGTTGCAGTGAAAAAAGGAAGAAGGCGGATGTTTTGATCGTGTCGGAAATGATGCTTAATCGATTAATTCGTGCTGTCAACTGTCAATTTCGCACAGCTGATTGTGATCGACTAGGGCTGGAGCATACGATATGACTATCGTAAGGCGCGTATGTCAAATCTTTTGAATTTTACAACGTTAACCTTTTTGTCCAATGCTGCCCATTACATGAAGGAGCCGAAAACAAAGGGCAACGATCTCTGCCTGGCGAGCGAAGTTGTGTAACACCTTCCGTTATGCAAAAAGTTTAGACTGTACAGCAGCCGATTCTAACTGTACAATGTATGTATGTATGTAGGTATATGCGAATACCGTGCGAAGCGATGCGAAAAGGGTTTGTGTGAGTGTGGCCCTGCAGCGACACGTGCAAGGGTGCCTAAAATTATTAAAACGATATTTAATAATAATTGCTTAACTTTAACACACGTTCACGATCACTTCGGGGTCACCAAATGTTTAGAGGAGGCATTAATTTATGCCACATTTTTTTGCGAATATTTAACTGACAGAATTATGCGTGTGTCGGAACGGTGTTAAAAGAAAAGCCGAGAATGTGGTTCGATTTCAAATGATTTTATTGTGGTAGCGAGAGCGAACGAGCTGATCCGTACCAGCGATCAAAAGAGAAAAGCGAAAAATTCTGGAATATGATGGCCATATCTCAAATTATGCAAAAATTTTGAAAAACAGACAAGTTAGAATTTTTTTTCTAAAAATGTATCGAGCATTTGTATGGCAACTATATGATATATTCGTCCGATCCGGCCCGTTCCGACATATATAGCAGTGATATAGACTGTTGATGCTTATCAAGAATATATATACTTTATAGGGTCGGAAAGGTCTCCTTCACTGCTTTGCAAACTTCTGACTGAAAGTATAATACCCTGCAACTGTATAATAATTTCATGAAAATGATTAAACATCAAATTTTCCCCGAACATGAGAAATATCTGGAGGAGTCGCTCAAATATTTTTATAAAATGATGGCTGATACAGCGCTGGTTTCCAATATTCATGGACAACATTTCACATCTTGTTGTTGGGCACACGATAATGTCGAGAATGGAGTAGATACATGTGCTTGCCATTTCTTTACTGTACGTTCACAAAAATCATTAAAAATTATGTAAATGTATGTTAATTTGGAACATCGCTTCTGATCATTATACTTGAAAAATAAAATTATATTTACGCAAAAATAAATATACATCATTTTTTAATGGTGGAAATGGGATATGTCTTTTGCAGCCTTCACTTTTTCAGATTGGGTGGATGGGGTGTTTCACTTTGCCCAGACTGTTGAGAAACCGTTACAAGTGCATCCTTCACCCATCCAGATTTTGGTGAGCTAATTTCTCACACAAATTCGAGGTGGAGTGGGTGAAGGAAAATCAGAGTCTGTCCTTTTTAGGTAAAGTCTCGTGGGTGAGCGCTCTCCATACGAATGTACTTTGGCTTTTCCGTTATTGGCTTCTTCAATTGCATCCCCATACCGTTTTTAATTTGAAGGTCGTTGGTGAGCATCCTTCATCCGTATGTGCTTTGGATTTTCCGTTATGAGGCCTTCTTCAATTGCATTCCCATCCCTTTTTAAGTTTAAGGGTCGTGGGTGAACGTACATGTGTGGGTCAGGATCACTCCGGGCGAAGCAGGATCGCCGCCGTGCGCCCTTCATTGGGAAAACAAGTGACCTTTTTTCAAGTGAGGTATCTCACAGTGAAAATCACAGTCCAGGGTCGTGGGTGGGAACATGTTTCGACTCTGGCCCCCTTCTTCACTTACACCCCGTCCCTTTTTTAAGCGAGCATCGTGGGTGAACGTACATGTGATGCTCAGGATCATTCCGGTCGGAGCAGCATCGCCGCGGTGCGCCCTTTTTCAATTGCTTAACCCTCTCTTTTTTTAAGTAAGGGGTCGTCGGTGCACGTGCAACGCTCTGGAATCGCTACCGGGATCGCTCCGTTGCATTCGCACTCGTATCCATATCCCTGTGGGAACCCTTGAACACATGATCTCAAGTGTCCTTTTACATGCACTGACCTTAATTTATTCCATCTTTATTACCTCCTCTATTGACAGGTTGATATCTTCCCCTAATTAAGTGGATTTTTATTACCTAAACCACACTAATTTTGACAGCTAACCCATTAATTGCATTTTTATTACCCTTTTTACCGACATCAAAAGTCCCGTTAGTCGGCTATTATAACTACTGCTAGTTTTCTTTAAAAAACTCTTCGACTTGTAATTTGTGTGTTAATTTTTCTTCTTTAAGACTGTTAATGTATTATAAATTTATTTTCATAATTACATAATATCAAAAATAAAATCTGTGTTCACAAGTAGTAATTACAAAGTACAATTTTTATTAAGCAAAATAAAATTTTAGAAATGGCATATATATGACCGTAAACGTAACTTTTTATTTGAATCGTTTTTGGTTGTTGCAGTCCTTCTCGTCGGCGGTTGGTCTCTTCAAAATGGTTTTACTAAAAAAAAAAAAACGATTAAAAATTTCTGAAAAAACGTGTTTTTTATTTAAATAAGATTATTGATTAAACAGAATAGAAGGTAACCTCATAATACCAAAGCTTGCCGGTTTACCCAGCAAAAGTAGCTTATTGCACTATGCATGTACATATGTGTACCGTACATTTCAAGTGGAACTTGCGACACAAAGCACGTGCTTGTTCTGTTAGCAGTTAGTAGGCGCGAAGGAAATAAATAGAAAAGGGTGCGATAAAACTACTACTGGCGTGCTGCCGGATTGGTTGCTTGCATGCGTACTAAGTGGGTTAAGATTAAAGTTTTTAGTTTAGGGAGGCTATCAACATTAGATGTTATGGTGTACAAATCATTATAGTTTTGCACAGAGGACTCTAAAGAGTTTATGGAGTTTAAAGGATGTTCTACAGTGGGGCAATACTAATGGTAAAAAGGCTCCAGTGTTTCTTATTGGTACGTGAAAATTAAGATGACCCAGCAGTCAGCACTTTCCACGTCACCACGGATTAAGTTATATAAGAATGTAATACCTAGCATGGTCCTACAATTAGATAAAGAGGGTAAGTAAATTAGTAAGAGTCTAGTAGAATAAGACGGTAACCCAGTTTAAACCGCGTAAATGGGAGAGTAAAAAGTTCTTTTGAACCGATTCTAGGCGTTTACTGTGGGCTCCAAACGCAGGATCCATATTCTAAGTTGGATGAAAAAGTGAAGTATATAAAGAATTTGCAACATAGGGGTCATTGAATTCCTTCGACCACCATTTAATGAAACCAAGCACACCCCTGGCTTTATTCACCATGCACGAAATATGATCGATAAAGTCAAGTTTAGGATCTAGACGGACACCCAAATCATCAACTATATTAATTTTTTCCAAAGAGCAGCAGTTCAGCGTATAACTTTTAGGCTTTTAGTTTAATAAGTTCACGCGGCACCATGTTTAAAAATTGTTAAGATCTGTCTGTTAGTCTGACTGGCAAGAAGCGTCGACATGAGAATCGCTCGCCGCGGCGCTCGACTTGAAACACACGTTCACTAGTTTTATTATTATTTTTTTAATTGTATTGTTCGGCTAAAGGTTGAGGATACCAATTAGCACTCTAAGTAAATGACCAACCAACTCGCGGAGTAATGCGCGCCGATTTACATATGTATGTATTTATGTATGTCAAGACAGTTTTATTCTTTGATGTACGGCCGAATATAGGGACATATGTATGCATGTACGGAGAAATGCACAACGGGTCCGAAGAAGTGGAAGAAAAAACCCAAAAGAAACGGAGATAATTATGGTGCAGGAAAATAGATGTGGAGAAAATCGGATTTGGATATATGTAGATTTTTACGTTGTATAATTGCCGTGGTGTCGGAAATCTCGGTTGTCAAAAAATCGTACGCAGGTTGAGCGAAATTTAAATTTTGGACGACTACCGGCAATTAGACGGGAGGAAACGTTATACTTTTTTTTTTGCGGTAGCACCACCAAAGCTGCTGGGAAAAAGGATTCCAGGACAATATCTTTATCCGGCGAAGGACCATGTTCAGGAGCGGGGTGGCCAGGAAATCCTCCGCAAAATGATTCAGTAGAAAATTTATCCCACAAAGCAGAAAAAAACAGAAAATTCGGGGGTCAAAATTGACATTGGCATGGAGCGCCCGTTGCATATGTACCTATTTACATTCGTTTTAGTGCTAAACTTAACTTAGCCTAAGGGCCCTCTGCCGACCGAGAAGCCCAGTTTAACAGCGCGAGAGCGGGAGAACCGTGAATTGGAGCGGTGTAGCCGTCCCTAAGCTCGTCTAGGAGCGAGCGACGATCGGGAACACGGGTGCGTGCGATCATGAAGTCCGAGGAGCGGAGAGCGGGCGAGCGTTGCTAAGCTGGGAGCGCTTGAGCTTTTGGAAGCTTGGTGGGCAGAGGGGGGACAGAGACCTCCTGGCGTGAACATATTGCACACAAACTTTGACGTCATCAGCGTACATAAGAACTCTGGAGCTGGTGAAAACTTCGGGCAGATCGTTGATAAATAATGTAATACCTTACTGAAATATATGTGGTATAGATTACATCTGTCTGAAAGTTATTTCGGTAGCCCTTTATAAAAGATTGGTTGTAATTGATCTTCGCTTAATAAAACCATGTTGACATGGAGAAATTATTGACCTACACAGGTGCTGCAAATGAAGAGTACTGACATTTTAGAAAAGTTTAGGGATGGCCCAAAACTTAGAGATTCCTCTGTAGTTGTTTGCCTCCAATTTGCTACCTTTTTTTTTGAGAGGAATAATGAATGATTCCTTTCAGATAAGGGTAAATTCGTAATTCTACGAGCTTTGAGTTGGACGTGCTTTACATCGCTCTACATTTATTCAAAGTTTTCTTAGTGAAATCCTATTTATCAAAGCCCAAATTTTCGGCAAGTGGTCGGTGTTTCCGTGAACTTCTTAATCCGTAAACAACCGGACCTTTTTAAATAAAGTCTGTGACTTTATCGTCGTAAAACAATTTCGGTTTTACAATTGCCTTGCCTTTCTATTCTTGTGCATTGTGTTTACCGCTTATCGCTGCATCGCCTTGTGTTGTTGTTGGCGCTAGCTAAATCAATAACACAAATTTCTTATTTTTCGGCGCTTAGATAAAAGCTTTTATTTTTGCGCTCTTCGCTTTTTGTTTTGATCGGTCTGTTCGCCGCGAAACTTAAACAATTTTTATTTTTCAAATAAACAATTGTATAATTTGTTTTGATCGGCCATTTCGTCGCGCATATAAATTAATCCAATTCGTGATTTACTTGGATAAAGTATTTTTTTATTCCAAAAATGGCTACGTGTTGTTTCTCTAAGTGCCCGAACGGCCAAAAATTTTTTCGCGGCATGTCACTGTCTACTGCTGGCTCTGTGATAATATCGCTCACATTGGATGCGCCGATCTGGGGCAAAATGGATCGCGTATCACCGACCGCATTCGTGAAAATCCTGGATTGGACTGGACGTGCCCGAGCTGCCTGCATATCAAATCCGATATGCGGGTCTTCATGAGGCAGACTCAACTGGAGTTTCAGTCGTTGGCGGCCGGCTTTAAGGAGTTGTCAACTCGCTTCCAGAAGGCGGAACACCATTTCAAGTCGCTAAAACTGCCAAGTGACCCCGCAAACAAAAACAGGAGCAACCTGTCTGAAAAGTTCTTATCTCTTCCAGACCCTGAATGCCCCCTTATGCAGTTCACCCCACGTGCCAAGCCTGCAGCCGTGGATAATGGCTCTGGTGATGATGCAGCATCGATCACAACTTCTATGGTTGAAGATCTTGTCAGGCCGTTGGATCAGCAGCCTGTCAACGTTGTCCAGGCGTCAACGTTGCACGCTGCAGCCTCTGCTGAAGTTGCTGCACCAGTCCCCATTCTCGGAGGGGGCGAAGCCACCATGCTCCCGGTTCAGCAGCCTGTCTACACCGATCAGGCATCCACGTCGCGTGCTGCTGCCATCAACGACGCGTCGGTGGTGTCAAATCCCAACCCAGTGGCTCCCCCGGTGGTCACTATCTCGGTGCCGGCCGTTACCAGAAGCGGCCCCCAACAGTCGACAATTTCTGGCGTTGCCAAACGCGGACCGGTGCCTTTGGCTGGTGTTGCTCCGAAAAAACAGATTTTTGTTTCCCGCCTCAATCCAGATGCTTCTGAGGGCGACGTTAAAACCCACTTGAGCAGCAAATTGAATGTTTCTGTTACTGAATTTAGTGTCTCCAAATTCAATTTTAAGGAAAGACGTGATATATCTTCGTTTAAAATTACAATTTCTGACCTACTATTTTCTAAGGCTCTTGATCCTTCTTTGTGGCCTGAGCATGCAATTGTTCATGAATTCGAACACAAAAGTACTCCTCGAGCTCGCGGGCCTCGAACTCCTTCAATTAGGCCTCCAAAAAACTAATAGACTCTTTTGTTCTCCACTATCAGAATGTTCGTAGTTTACTTGGCAAGCTCAGTAGGCTACACGTCAATAGTGTCTCTTTCGATGCCAATGTTATTGTCTTTACAGAAACATGGCTCAACTCCTCTGTGTCTGACTCTGAGATTTTTTCAGGGAACTATACCATCTTTAGACGTGATCGTCCTATACGGACAGGCGGTGGTGTTCTCATTGCGGTTAAATCCGATCTGGTTTCCAATATCATTTCTAAAACTGACACTGATATAGAGTTTGTGGCGGTTCGCATCCAGGTTTACGATTATTCTATATACGTTTCATGCTCGTATATTCCACCTAGGTCTGACACTGATATTTATATGCAGCATTTATCCTTAATTCAAGAAATTCATTCTTCCCTTGGTATTA